TCCATTCTTGTTCGTGGATTGTGGTTTGTTAGAATAGTGATTATTCTGTTTTTATGAGATGTTTCTTGTATTTTTATTTATTTTTAAGGCAGAGTCTCGCTGTCACCCAGGCTGGAGTACAGTGGCTCGATCTCAGCTCAGTGCAACCTCCACCTCCCAGGTTCAAGCGATTCTCCTGCCTCAGCTTCCCGAGTAGCTGTGATTACAGGCGTGTGCCACCACACTCAGCAATTTTTTGTATTTTTAGTAGACACAGGGTTTCACCATGTTGGCCAGGCTTGTCTCGAACTCCAGACCTCAAGTGATCCACCCGCCTCGGCTTCCCAAAGTGCTGGGATTACAGGCGTGAGCCACAGCACCCTGCCATTACTGGTCCTCTAATGGATCTGGAGCACCTCAGTTCTCTGATTGTTACCCTTCTGTGTTGAAAATTAACGGTTATTTTCATTTCATGTCTAGGATGTAGTATGTTCTTGTTGGGAAAAAATGATGTTGCTTGAGAAATAAGTGCCTTCAGTATCACTCTGTGTCACTTAATAAATATGACTAATATCTACTTTTACCAATTGCTGCAATTTGATCCTTAAACAGCCATCTTTAAATTATACTTTTTCTTTGGTTAAAGTAATTATATTAGACATTAATTATTTTTACATAATTTTCTTATGTAGACTGACATTCTTAGAACTAAAACTTTCAGATGTTTATATTACAAGTATCATTATTATTTTGTATTATTATTAATGTGTCATCTCTTTTTCTCTGTAGCCATATGTAATCAACTGTCTTCCTTTTACTTCCTTTTTGAATCAAAATGTTACACTGTGTACAAGCAAGAGCAACAGCTCTATATCGGGTTCACTGCAGTGCTTAGAAGATGCAACAGCACAATTTACAAATCCAAATTTCCAGGAAGTCTCTGCAGGGACCTCTAGTACAAAAGAGGCTTCAGAGACTAGAGGGTCAGAGGGCAAAAAGAAGAAATCCAACTCCCAGCTCAGGTCAAAAGGGAAGAAAGGCTGGTATTGAAAGAAATCCAAGAATGACTGTGTCTGCAACTAGCCCTTTTCTGCAAAGTATTCATGATGTTTCAGTTAAAATATTTGTTCTTATGATGGTCAATAATATGAATAGTTATGCTTTGTAAAAGAATTCTTACAATTAATGGATCATTCTAAATTATTATATGTTTAGTTGCTATAGTAAGATGACGTCAAAGATTTATTGCCTGTTAAATGTTTCTGGGATCTTTGCTTTATTTTTATATTATGATCTGTGCTTCCAAAGTTGAGCTGTAATTTTATTGTTTATACAAATGTAGAATAAAGCTTAAGTTTGGGGAGAAAAATAAAAGCCAGAGTTTTCCTTTCAGCTCTATAGAACAGTCATTCATTTCTATAAATATTCTTTATGTACCTTTCCTAGTTCCACATTTAAAAAGATAAATGTGGGGATCTACACAGGTCTCAGTAAATAATAGTTGTTGATTAATAATGCATTTATTATAAAGCTTGAAGTTTAAAGTAGAATTTTGCTCAGCCTGCATATCTTTTATGGTCAGGCTGCTATAATTATGTAATACCCAGTTAAATTTCAATTTCAGATAAATAATGAATATTTTAGTTTAAGCATGACCCAAATATTGCATGGGATATACTTACACTGAAAAAATTATTTGTTTATCTGAAATTTAAAATTAACTGGGCATGCTATATTTTCTGTGGCAACCCTGTTTTATAGAGAACAGAGTAACTCAGCTAAATTTTAGAATACTTAACCTTAATCTGGTGTTCTAGGTCTTTACCTGTAATTATTATTATTATTTGGAGTCAGGGTCGTGCTCCATCACCCAGGCTGGAGTGCAGTGGCACAATCACAGTGCACTGCAGCCTTGAGCTTCTGGGCTCAAGTGATTCTGGAACCTCTGTCTTTGCCTCCCAAGTAGCTAGTACCACAGGTATGTGGGCCCAGCTAATTTTTTTTTTTTTTTTTTTTTTGTAGAGACAGGGTCTCAGGCTAGTCTGGAACTCCTGGGCTCAATCAATCCTCCCACCTCTGCCTTCACCTCCCAAATAGCTGAGACCACAGGCACATGCCACCACCATACACAGCTTATGTTTCATCAGGTTGGTGCAAAAGTAATTGCACCACCCTAATCATTCTTTGTGGAGACAGGGTCTTGCCCTGTTGTCTAGGCTGGTTTCCAACTCCTGGGCTCGAGTGACCCTCCTGCCTGGGCCTCTAAAAGTGCTGGGATTACAGATATGAGCCACTGCACCAAGTTACTTTGTATAATTTTTAACATAAACATAAGTATTTTGAGAAGTAGAAATGTTAAAACCCTTGGAGGAAAATATAAAGTGTACAATAGAAAAAAAAATCAAACAAATATAACAAAAAATTATCAAAATTTTCAGAGGAACAAAACAAAATCCAGTTTTTACAATCTTCAGGATTCAATCCCATTATATCAAACATATAAATAAACATATTCAAAGAAAAAGGCAATCAATAGAGACTGACCTCAAGATGACCCAGATGTTGGAATTAGTGTGAATTTTTAAAGTAGTTATTATAATTCTTACCAAAATAAAAACTCCAAAAACCCTCATAATAAATGGATAGGAAATCACAGCAGACAAGAAGAAACTACAAATAATAACAAAGGTTCAAGTGGAAATTCTAGAAGTGAGAAAGTTTTCCAAGTTAAAAAATATAATCAGTTGTTTTCAGGAGCAGCTTGGAGGTGGTAAAGAGTCAATGAACCTAAAATACAATTGAAGTTATTCAGTCTGAAAAATGTGAGCAGTCACAGGTTGTGGTGTGTGAGCTTTTCCTTTGGTTAGTGCTTTTAGGTAATCTTGGTTTTGATAAGATTACTAGACTGATCTGTCAGGGGCTAAGCCATAGTTCATCTTGGTTTCAGTAGTGGTTTAAACAAAACTCATGATATCCTTGTGTTCAAGATGGAAGAAGAGTGGACCAGATGACAATATTTAGATGCAGTCATTTTTAACCTCTTGTTGCTCTCCCAGTGGTCTAGCTGGGGTTTGTATAAAGCGGAATGGGAGAAACAGGGATGGAGACTCCACCTACCCTCTCCATTTGTCCACTTGTCCTCCTTCACTAGTGGATAAAGTCCGCGGGGACAGACGATGTATTATTTTAAATCTGTATCTTCTGTTGGCAAGATCTGTAGTTAGTTCTGCTCCCTGGACTGGGGTCAGGAACCAAAGGAACATGAGGGTGAACGAGGTGACATGGAGTCCAAGAATACACTGTGCCTACATGCAGAATGTTTGTGCCAGGAAAACCAGTCAGCAGTCAGATGGTCTCAGACACCAAGTGGGAGGCAAGATTCAGTCTCGTGAAGGCGGTGATCCTCAATGTGTGCTTCCTATCGCTTGCTTCCGAATGACCTGGAGTACTTGTTCACATGCAAATGTGGAGCCCAGTCCTAGACCTGCTAAGCCTGTGTCTCCACGGATGGTCTCAGCAGTCGACACTGGAGACCTGCTAAGCCTGCGTCTCCACGAATGGTCTCAGCAGTCGACACTGGAGACCTGCTAAGCCTGCGTCTCCACGGATGGGTCTCAGCAGTCGACACTGGAGACCTGCTAAGCCTGCGTCTTCACGGATGGGTCTCAGCAGTCGACACTGGAGACCTGCTAAGCCTGTGTCTCCACGGATGGGTCTGGGCAGTCGACATTGGAAATGTGCAGGTCCCTCGGAGACGCTTATGTAGATAAATTTGAACTGCTGTGTTTAAGGGTTAGGGAGCTGTCAAAAGCAAGGAATAGACCAGGCCCTTGGGTGGGAAGATTGCACAACCTTGGCACTATTAGCGTTCTGGGCAGAACAGGATTTTGCCACATGCTTCAAAGCATCCCTAGCCTCTACCCTCTAACACCATATCCCAGATGTGAAAACCAAAAAATGTCCCCTGGGAGGCAAAATAGTCACCAGCTGGGAACAGGAACCACTGCTTTGCGGGATCAGAGTAGTTACTTTGTTCCCAATCCAAGGATCAGAACCCAAGATGAGACAAAGTGCAGCTATCGGAACTGGAGGGCCAAGCTGAAGCTAGACCTACAACAAACGCTCCAAAAGCTCCTTTCTAGGCCTGATCCCGTGCCTCAGCTACCGAGCTTGTACAGATGCCATGTAACTCTAGATCTGGTGACAGATGGAATCGAAAGGCTAGAACTTGATAGGGTCTTTCAGGTTGGGCCAGCACACAACATGGACTTTTGACAACATCTAGATGCTTGAACCAACCTCAGTCCTGAGGCAGAATTTCCCGTGACATCTGATACACAGCCTGGATTTGGAGCACCCACTGGGATTAGATGCCACGGGAAGATTGTGTTTAGGAACTCTGAAAGAGACAGGCTTCAACAAAGCAGACCTAAGCAACACTTAGCAACTGAACTTCTTCAGCTTCCATTCCAGCCCACAAGGACAAAAGCTTCCCATACATATCCACTGTGGCTAACCCGTCCTCAGTAGGGAGTTTCCCCAGCATTGATCTCCCCTCTGTTCTGAGCCTACTTGTTCTTTTGTAATGTTTCCACTTTCGGTCCCACTCCCTAACAGATGATTTGTCCTCTCCGCCCAGCCCCCTAGTTCTGATATTTGGACTGTCTGTGATCTGGGTAGTACTTCAGAGGTAGAATCAAAGCCTTGTTGATTGGATTGGGAATTTCTAACTTCCTATTAAAGGCACTGATCAAGCATCTATTGTATAAAGTAAAGACTATGATCCAGTAAGACAGATTCCACAAGCAGTGCAGGAAGAATTGGTTTCTAGTACACTGCATGCTTCAGGACAGGAAATCCAGAAAAAAATTCTGTGGTACATTAAATGTGTACTATAAGTTTCATTTCCATGTGCAAAATTGTAGTTAGCTAAAAAGTACATCCATGAAGAATCTTGATTAAGCTTGTTTCATCCTGGTTAAACTAGTTACTAAACAATAATTTCACAACAACTCAAGAACTCTGTAAAAGCATTTCCTCTGAGTATTTTATTCAGAACAAAACACAAAAAGATAAGGCAGAAACAAAAATCCCTGTCATTTGCAGTATCTGTCGGCTTTCAATTTGGCTCTCCTAAGCAAAGAAAAGTAATAAAATTAATCTATGTAAAACATGCCATATATATTCAACTGCTACTAAATATAAAAAGCTTTAAAACTCTGTGGTCAATTTTGGTTATTATATTACCACAACACTTATATTAAAATATGTATACTTTTAAATTTGGTTTCTATAAAAAATGGATTCTAATCTTATAAAAGTTATTTCCTAATAGTCAATAAACATTGCCTAAGGGCTTTTTCAATCCACAATAGCAATTTTAATTATTCTGGAATTTAAGGGTGCTCTAAATTTCCATTCAACATGGTGAGAATGCTGTATTATTAGACGTGATAAAAGTTACAGGACACAGAGCTTATTCTGTTTTAGAGTCCACATCCTGATTGTATTTTATATCCTCTTCTTGATTTCTTCCATCTAGATATGTATTCATTTGCTCAGCTGGAAAAAATTCTTAACATTATGTACTGACTTTAGGTATGAAGTCTACCAGCTAGTTAACAGGAAATATGTAATTAAACATTGCCTTATCAAGAAATGCAAAAAAAGGGTAAGAGTAACTTTGCAACATAGGACTTCAATGAGCGGCTGGCAATTATCAAAATCTGGCACTTAATTGATTTATACTTGTCCACTCACAGCTAAACGTCTCTGCCTGTTTTCCTATGTTGTAAATCTAGGACATTACTTATCCACATAGGAAGAGTAATAAATGTTAATAATGTGCTATGATAAACATCCTGCACTCTTCCAAATCTTACAATAAAACTGCTTCAATTTCACTTGTTTAGCTTTTAGATTTTTAGCTGATCTATTCTTATTTTAAGGAACCTGAACTACTCTAACAGAATCCACATAATTTTTATATTAGTCAAACAGCTTCTTTCTAACTCTGGTTCTAATAGTTATAAAAAGATAATGATAAATTTATGAAGTAGGTACAGTCAAACCTTAATTTCTTAAAGTATATACTTAGAATCGGTTGTGGCCGGGCGCGGTGGCTCAAGCCTGTAATCCCAGCACTTTGGGAGGCCGAGACGGGTGGATCACGAGGTCAGGAGATCGAGACCATCCTGGCTAACACAGTGAAACCCCGTCTCTACTAAAAAATACAAAAAAAAACTAGCCGGGCGAGGTGGCGGGCGCCTGTAGTCCCAGCTACTCGGGAGGCTGAGGCAGGAGAATGGCCTGAACCCGGGAGGCGGAGCTTGCAGTGAGCTGAGATCCGGCCACTGCACTCCAGCAAGGGGGACAGAGTGAGACTCCGTCTCAAAAAAAAAAAAAAAAAGAATCGGTTGTAATTTTTAGATATTCTTTCTTGACAGTCTTTTCCCAAACTTATGATGTCCTCTCAAAGTAATATTGCCACATTCATAAATTAGAAATAAAGACAAAAATGTGAAAACTATAGTAATTTAAGGGAACACAGGTTTTCTACACACCATTTCTATTGGCTACTGAAAATAGCGGAAATAAGTAAATAGCTACCTGTCCAGAAGCGTCTCATGCAAAAATCCATCTTTCCGAGCCTTTTTAAGAATTTTACTGTCTTCTTTACTTGTTTTAAGTTTGTGGTCTTGGAAGCTCTGAAATTTATTTCTGCAAAGAAAATATCTTCATTGAAAAATACCTCAAACTCTGATTATACATATTTACTATTAAATTTATAAATACTGCTAATTTCTTTTTCACTTATTAAAAAAGTCTAACTGTAGGCCAGGCACAGTGGCTCATGCCTGCAATCCCAGCACTTTGGGAGGCCAAGGCAAACAGATCACCTGAGGTCAGGAGTTCGAGAACAGCCTGGCCAACATGGTGAAACCCCATCTCTACTAAAAATACAAAAATTAGCTGAGCATAGTGGCGCATGCCTGTAGTCCCAGCTACTCAGGAGGCTGAGGCAGGAGAATCACATGAACCTGGGAGGCGAAGGCTGCAATGAGCTGAGATCACGCTACTGCACGCCAGTCTGGGCGACAGAGAGAGACTCCATCTTAGGGGAGACAAAAAAAAAAAGTCTAATTGTATTTTTTTTTAAATAAGCTGGAGATTTTCAACAACAAAGATGACCTCCGTGACCCCTCAAAAGGAGGGCTGCTCATTGGGAAGAACCACAAGGCCCCACTTCTATTAGGGCATGCCGGCTGGAGTCCTCCGTGTCCTGGCCATAGCACAGCCTTTGACTGGCATCACACCCATTCTATGAATGAACAGGGAGACGATTAACCCGGATGATGTTAAACCTAGTTAACCCGGATGAAGGTAGACCTAGTTAAGAGTGCACCTGCGTATTTAAAAATGATTCCTATTCTCTTTCCCCTGTAGTAAGTATGAGGGGATTTTTCTCTTGTATTTACTTCAAGAACCTGGTTGAGCTTCTGGTGGTACAACTCAAAAGCATGAGACCCATATGCATAGGCCTCCTGGAGGTTTTAACTCTCAGAGGTGGCCACACCTCACTGCAGCAATTTGTCAATTCCAGTTCAGGTTTTCCAGTCCCAGTGTGGGTTCCTTGGAGCATTGTGCTCCAGTGTACAGTGATTCTCCGCTTTACCTCTTCAGCCAATCTGGGGACAGTGGCTTTCCTGTGACCTCACGTCTCTTGCAGGTTTAAGAAGAGCTGCTGATTTTTCAGTTTGCTCAGCTTTTTACCTGTGAGGAGGGAGTGACAATTCTCAAGATTATTGTGTACGGAACCTGAAATTCCCCAACTCCATTATAGTAAAAAGTGTCTTCCCTTCCTCTGGCTCAAGAATTAAAATATTTTCTTTCTTTGACACATTGTAATTTGATTCCCTAAATATTTATAATTGTAGATTTAAAAACTCGGTCTTCTGCTGTATCAGACATCTAGACTGGCACTTTCCAACAGAATTATGAGAGTCCTGTCATAGAACTTGAAACCTTCGTTGTAGCCTCATATAAATACATAAACAGGTACAATTAATTTTACTAGTATATTTTTAACTCAAAATGCTCATACTATACTTTCAATAAGAAATACAAATAGGCCGGGTGCGGTGGCTCACATCTGTAATCCCAGCACTTTGGGAGGCCGAGGTGGGTGGATCACGAGGTCAGGAGATTGAGACCATCCTGACTAACACGGTGAAACCCCTTCTCTACTACAAATACAAAAAATTAGCCAGGTGTGGCGGCAGGCACCTGTAATCCCAGCTACTTGGGAGGCTGAGGCAGGAGAATGGCATGAACTCGTGAGGCAGATCTTGCAGTGAGCCGAGATCACGCCACTGCACTCCAGCCTGGGCGACAGAGCGAGACTCCGTCTCAAAAAAAAAAAAAAAAAAAAAAAAGAAAAAAAAGAAAAAAGAAAAAAACACAAATAAAATATTTTCTATTTTTTATATTAACTGGCATATCTTTCAGGCAGCAAATCCACTTCAGATCCGGCGTACTTCATGTGCTCAGCCGCCGCATGTGGTGAGTGACAGAGACCATCCTGCATGTGTGTGCACTTTTTACTGCCTTTTTCTTGACCACAGATTCTACCTCCAGTTTCTGTATGTATGCAGTGATTATTCGCTGAATATTACACATTGTGGGTAACATGTTGAGCACACTCAGGATCCCTGACCTTCCTCTGAAGCTTTCCAGCTCTTGTTTTAGCAGGTAGCACAGTCACTGCTGGGTCATCGTGACATGGGCAGGCTTGGATTGATTCAGCTGCTGGTGTGGATCTGTGGAGAGCTCCAATCCTGCAACCACTCCGATCTCCCCCTCCTGGACGTGGTAGGATGGCCATGCTCTACCCACACCTGAGCTCTCTCTGATCTCCCCCTCCTGGACGTGGAAGGGTGACCATGCTCCGCCCACACCTGAACTCTCTCTGATCTCCCCCTCCTGGATGTGGTAGGGTGGTATGCTCCACCCACATCTGAACTCTCTCTGATCTCCCCCTCCTGGACGTGGAAGGGTGGCCATGCTCCACCCACACCTGAACTCTCTCTGATCTCCCCCTCCCGGACGTGGTAGGGTGGCCATGTTCCGCCCACACCTGAGAGCTCTCTGATCTCCCCACTTCTGGATGTGGTAGTGTGATATGCTCTACCCACACCTGAGCTCTCTCTGATCTCCCCCTCCCGGACATGGTAGGGTGATATGCTCCGCCCACACCTGAACTCTCTCTGATCTCCCCTTCCTGGACGTGGTAGGGTGGCCATGCTCCGCCCACACCTGAGCTCTGTCCAATCTCCACCTCCTGGACGTGGTAGGGTGGCTATGCTCTGCCCACACCTGAGCTCTCTCCAATCTCCCTGCCCCTCCTGGACGTGGTAGGGTGGCCATCATGCTCCGCCCACATCTGAGCTCTCTCCGAGCTCTGCCTTCTGGACGTGGTAGGATGGCCATGCTCCTCCCACATCTGAGCTCTCGGCGCCGCGATCTGCAGGTGTTCTCCAGAGGGCAGGTGTACTGTGGGTGTGTCTCATTCATTCTCCTGCCCTCCCTCAGGTTCTGGCTGGCACAGCTGTGGTCACAGACTAAAAACACTCACCTCGTTCGTTTTGTACAGTTTTACAGTTGTTTTTGGCAGATGTGTGATTTGGGTCCCTGTTCTCTCATCATGGCTAGAAGAAGTTTTGGCAAATTATTCTTGTATCTTTACTTTTGAAAACTAAAGGAAAGTTTCACCTATAGAATATTAGCGTTGCGACAATCCTAATGAGAGTTTCTCCAGAAACTATGATCCAGGTCAGCAACCAGTCATTTCATAGAAGATAAACTTTAAGAACATTCTCTGAAGGGCAATGAAGCTGAGTAAGCTCTAACCATTGTTACCAAATACCAAGAAAAATAGGTAAGAAAATGCAGCTAAGATTTTGTTCAAGTAAGTGCAGTAATAAACATGCAAACTATCACTAAGCACAAAATAGACTGGGAGTAAAAAATTTTTATGATATCGACATTTATGATTTTACAAACTGCCCCATGTGATATCAAGAGGACTCCTGATGAAAATTTACAAAGGATGTTTTATGGTTTATATAAAAATGCTAATCAAATAAATCCAAATATTTCACAAAAATAACATTTCAAATAATATTCTTTTATATTTTGCAGACATCTGTACAATGAGGTTATTCATCATGCATGACCTAGTAACATTTCTCAGCAGTTGGATTCAATACAAGAAATAAGCAAATAACCGCACTACTTCTTCCATTTCAAAGTCATTTCTCTTATAAAAAGTGGTCAAGAAAAATGCCTGTTGCCTTAAATACTGGTTAATGCCAAAAATTTGCTTTAAAATATTTCAAATGGGTTATCCTTTTACGTCCATGTTGTTAGTTACACAAAGAACACATACAAATACAATTTTTTTTACAATAAGTTTTGGCAAATTATAACCATAAACTAAACAAACAGGATTAAGCATACTATTTTTTGAGATAGGGTCTTGCTCTGTTGCCCAGGCTGGAGTGCAGTGGCACAATCACGGCTCACTGCAGCCTCAACCTCCCTGGGCCCAAGTGATCCTCCTACCCCAGCCTCCCGAGCAGCTGGGACCACAGGCACACAGCACCATGCCTGGCTGATTTCTGTATTTTTTGTAGGGATGGGGTTTGGAATGTTGCCCAGGTTAGTCTCAAATGCCTGGGCTCAAGCAATCTGCCTGCGTTGGCTTCCCAAAGTGCTGAGGTTAGAGGCATGAGCCACCACGCCTGGCCTAATCATTTTTAAAGAGTCTCGATTTATTATCGTTATCTTTTTCTAATTGAGATGGGGGTCTTGCTCTGTTGCCCAGGCTGGAGTACAGTAGTGCAGTCTCATCTGACAGCAACCTCTGCCTGCCGGGCTCAAGTGATTCTCCCACCTCAGCCTCCCAAGTAGCTGAGACTACAGGTGTACACCACCAGGCCCAGCTAATTTTTTGTACTTTTGGTGAAGACAAAATGTATAAAAGGTATTTCTGTACATTTTGCCATGTTTTCCAGTCTGTTCTTGAACCCTTGGGCTCGAACTATACACCTGCCCTGGACTCCCAAAGTGCTGGAGTTATAGGCATGAGCTACAGTGCCCAGCCCTTAATTATGTGCTGTGGCTTAATATTAAAATAAAGAAAGGGAGGAGCCCAAGGGAGCACGTTGGCATTCACTCCCTTGCATGCTGGTACTGTGTTCTTTACATGAAGAACATGTTATGTGTCAATGAAAAACAAAAACAACATAGGAACACCCTGTCTCTACAAAAACTTAAAAATTAGCTGGCTGTGGTGGTGTGCACCTGTGGTCCCAGCTGCTTGAGGCTGAAGTGGGAGGATCGCTTGAGCCCAGGTGGTCACAGCTGCAGTGAGCCAAGAGCTGTGAACATGATGCTGAATTCCAACCTTGGTGACAGAACAAGACCTTGTCTTAAAAAGCAACGAAAACCCAAAATGATGCACTGTTTAAGTTCTGTCCTGTAAATTTCAGTACCTTCATTTGTAAAGGTACGTAAAGGTGAAACTCAGGAGCTGCTTGGAATAATGTGGGCATACGCTTGACCTCAGCTCTGATCTGAAGCATATCCTTCTGTCTCACTGCTTGCCAAGACTAAGCTAAACTTCAAAAGTAAAAATACTCCCAAAAATGTTGTACATTTTC